AGGGAATCGTAAAACAGAACGGAAGAAACCACGGTGCATCCACTTTTGTACATAGTGACGGTGACTTCCCAGCATTCCCACGTGAGCAAAGAAGGAAATCGGCAATCGATGCGTTGTCCTTCAAACTATGGACGACGCAGACTCACTGGTCATCTCGTCTGACCCTCTCCATGTATGTTTTCTTGCAACACGTGTTCACGCTAACAAGCTCATCGTCTAACAGCCCGCAAATCTCATTCCGGAGCTCTGTCAATCATTCTACCACTTGGGATGGGTCACAGGCACTGGCGGTGGCATCTGCATTCGCGCCGGGCAAGTGATAATCTCTTGTGACTCATTAATTCTATTCATTCTCTAACCAGAGATAAAGCGTAAGCCTTTCGTTCAGACGGACGACAAAATATCCTTTACTGGTGGCGGCCTTAGGTACATTGCACCCAGCGGCGTTCAGAAGGAGAGAATCGTCCCCACGGATATCTTCGTACTCCCATATCCCGCCCCTCAAACACCGTCTCCGCATACAGATCGTGTATTTCTTCGCCGACCCCGTAAGGAACTAAAGGAGTCTGCATGTACCCCTCTGTTCTGGAATGCCTTCGATCTCAGGGGGGCTGGTTCTTGCGTTCACACGCACTCTCAGCACGCTGTCATGGCCACTCTACTTTGGCCCGGAGAAACGTTCGAAATTTCCCATCAGGAAGTGAGCTAACATTGTCATAATCTTCGATGACCGATGTTTGATATGGAAAAGATGATCAAAGGAATTAGGATCGGGGGTATGGGGAAGGCTCTATCGTATTTGGACACGCTGGTTATTCCTATCATCGAAAACACACCTTTCGAGGAAGACTTAAAGGACAGTATGGCTCAGGTGATGTCGTGAATCCAAGGTATGCGGCAGTATCATCTCAAGTGTCGCGATGCAGGCCATGAAAAAGTACCCTGACGCTGCGGGCGTGTTGGTCCGTCGCCACGGAGTGTACGTTTGGGGTGAGCTGGGAACTCGGCTTCCTTTCAACATTGGAACTCAAAGTCTGGTATATCCAGGTGCCGATTGGGAGAAGGCGAAAACACAGACTGAGGTATCCATGCATGGATTAGTGAGCTAGACTGAAAATTTCTGAAGAACTTTTTGCAGTGTTTGGATTACTTGTTCGAGATTTCTGTCAAGATGAAGTTGGTTGGACTTCCCACCCTTCTTGGAGAGCAAAACGGGGCATAGCACCTAGCATGTAGAATTTAAACGAAATGTATAAATGAACCGTGTATTGTATGCCAGCTGTTGACATACCAGCAGGATGTGGGTCTATGGCGTCCGCCAATCTAGGGATGCGTTGCCCCAAACTTCCCAATAGAACTGTAGCCACCATGAGCTCACGCACGCAGGATCGATCCAGTCGGTTGATCCCCTGTATTCCAGTACATCACAAATATCAGCTCCGATATGAAACATGAGAACATACCCATACTCGGTGAATGTAACGAAATCAGACCTAAAGATCGATTGTCAGCTACGCAATCCATGGCGAGCCACCCACCGAGGATCGCCTGGGTGACAAATAGTTACCTAGCGGTCCACACTGACCAGCCAGCATCATCCCTGGGTGTGAGGCAAGCCCCTCATTTGGGTAAGGCAAAATACATGATGAAGCGCTTACACAACATCGAGTTCTGAGAAACGACACTATGAAAATGGAAAAAGTCAGTCGGATGGCATGTGGGACGTACCAAGCATACTGTCCACACGACCAATTACCAGCAATCCTAGTAACGCCCCATAGTGGAGCGGACAAAAGTCACATGCACTGACACGTGCACTGACAATTTTTCTCGAAAATCTTGAAATTAGTTTGATTATGGAAATTTGGAATCAAACTAATTTCGTGATGGAAGTAGAAGCATATTTACAAATTAAGTCCCGAGATTATGTCGGTGGTGTCTTGGCCTGATGGTTAGTTTGTTGACTCCTGTTCTATTTGTTGGAGAACCGTGTGCTATGGGAGCGGAGCGAGCATTCTGTACAGCCACGTTCCCACAGCTGCTCATGATTCGGATTCTCCCGGATCCTACAGTCTGACCTACTCGGTTGGACCATGTGACTACTCAGTCACAAGGCTTCCTTTTTCTACAATTTCGGACTTACCCATGCCGGGCCACTGATACATTCATTCATTGAATTATTTCCTTTTTCCTCAGTTCTCGCGCATATAGCTTGAGACTGAGGTCAGTGATACTTCCTTTATTCTTTCATCCCTTTTACTCTGTAACTTACATGATATGTATATTGCCTTTAGCTAGCGCTTATAGGTAATACAATTATAGTTCTCGTGCATATAGCTTGAGACTGAGCTAGTGCTTATAGATCAATTACCGCACATTTTCTCACTATTGAGCCTGTTGGGCTCCTGTTTGATTCATGGGTGTGTTTGCCTTCTTGTTATTTTATAATTATTTATCTAAGTCACAACCACCACTAGGCTGATATTTTATGTGGGTTGGGCATTGGATCAGGGGTTGGGTATTGGGTCAGGGCATTGGGTTGGGGTTGGTGGCTGTGTATTGGGTATGTGTATATTTTCCTAAAATAGGTTGGGGAGATGGCAATGTAATACTTGTCACTGCTCACACTGTGGTTCAGATTTGATTCAGAGTTGAGCAATTCAGATTAGACTATCCCACATGATCATTTATTTATGATATTCATGAAATACATATCTCCAGTTGGTTTTGAAATATTTGTTCCTAATTTTCGTGGCTGTTCACGTGACTTTTTCTGTTCCACTATGGGGCATTATTGTCATATCCATCTACGGCCATCGTCCTCCATTACCTCCAATCCTTCCGGACTACCTCCACTCCTTCTTCACTAACCTTGGAGCCCCCATATTCCACAATCACCTCCGACTCCCTTGATGGTCACCACCCCCTCTTTTCAATATATTACCTATGCCTCCCTAAGTACGGAGCCCTGAAGGCCTCCAGACAGCTCTGATGTCTGCTAGCGCACTCCTGCCCCTGCTGGGCAATTCACTTGCTTGCCCTGCAAGTCTACCTTCGGGCCTATCCCTCCTTTCCGTTTCTGGGTTATAGCCTGCCATTCCGCTAACCCCATAACCTGACTCGTTAGTAATATTCAGTCAGCTAATGTTTAACTCCGTGAGCTCCACTCTGCTCGGTCCTGCCGTTCACGGGCCCACCCTCGCTGTAACTATATATACTTAACTTGTAGATAGGTTACACCCTAGTGATAAAATCGACTAGAGTTGATCCCCCTTTTAGTTCTCGCTGCCAGTAAGTAAATTAGAGCACGGATGTGTTACTAGGCACAGTGCTCCTGGTCTGAGTCGCTGAGGCCGAAGCCCTCTGCCACGGAGACATTTCCTTCGTCTCGCTTCCAGTCTCTAACAGTATTTTATCACTCCCTAACAGTACACATCTTGTATGGCACCCAAAGCCCCTCGCACTCGTTCGCAGCTATGCACATTGGTTCCTAACTCTGCCTCACCTTCCCCTGAACCCTCACAGCCTGGTCCTAGTCGTCTGGCGAGAAACCCAGTTGAGTTTCGCAGCTTCTCTAATTTAGAAACCCCTCTCCCATCGACTCCAATCATGCATCTCGTTAGAAATCAATCACCAGTTGCAGATTCCGACTTCGGAGACGCCATGGAACAGCCCATAGATCCAGTTCACTTCTTTGGACTTGGTTCTGAGGTCCCTGATTTCGTCGACCCTCCTCCTGCTGATCCTCCCATCCCCACTGTCCCAGCCACCGATGATGCCGAGCCCATCCCCAACATAGCTATCACACAGCTAGCCCAGGCCATCGCCAGTTTGGCTTGTCACACCGGGCATCCACCTCCTCCACCATCTTCTGCTCTCCAGACCAAGGTCCGTGAGCCCGAACAGTTCGACAGAAAAGATCCCTGTGAACTCCGAGTATTCCTGGTCCAGTGCGAACTGAACTTCCAGGACCACCCCCTTGCTTTTGCTAGCAACTGTGCCAAGGTCATCTTTGTGCAGTCCTACCTCAAAGGGATGGCCCTTGATGTCAGGGACTGCATGTCAGTTCATGACAATAAAGGTGTTCCTGAGAATCCTAGTCATTGTTAATGCTGAAGTGCCACCTTCAGCGGAGATAGGGCTTATATACATGGATACTGCTATCCACTAGAGTGCAGCTACAAACGAGATAAGAAACAGCTGATAGAATGATGACATGAAAAGATAGCTATTCATTCGGATAATCGTAAGCGAGGTGTGGGAATGGGGTGACATGTGGACGGAAGATAGAAGCGGGATGCTAAGTGAGAGCTAAGCAAGATTACCTGTGTTCTTCGGATCACTCTGGATCGTCTTACAGCAACTCCCTTCTGGCATAGGGAGTCAGGGTAGCCGGTTAGGCCATGCCCTGACACTTGATTGGTTCGAGCCGGACCTGAAAATTCTTTACTTCATCCTTGTTGGATGAATAACTACCAGGAGTTTGTCAATGAACTTCAGATGAACTTCGGTCCTCACGATCCTGTGGGTGACGCCAAAGTCCAACTTATGAACCTGGATATGAAGGATGGGCACCATATCAACAAGTACATCGTTGAGTTCAATCGCAACTTCATGGTTATGGAGAAGCTGCGCTCCATCATTTTTTCTATAATGGATTGCTGGAATGTATCAAGGATGACATTGCCAGGGTAGGGAAACCTTCTACCCTTTTGGAACTTCATACCTTATCACAGACCTTCGATGCATGCTATTGGGAGTGTAAAACCGAAGTAACTCATCATGCAAAACCCTCCTCCTCCAATGTCTTCGACAAGACCACTACCGCTTCTCGCTCCGACCCCGTTCCTTCCTCCTCATTCAACTCCGCTTCCGGTAGCAAGCCTCCGAAGGACAACAAGAAGTCTGAGGCCAGCTCCGCTAAACTGGATCTTTCGTCAAAACTCGGAGACAACGGCAAGCTGTCAGGGACTGACCCGGGGTCAAGAGCGCCTGGGTATATCACCTGGTGCTGAGGGCCTGGTAGGGTGTGACGCGGGCATGCGTGGCAGTGGGCCCGGTACAAATAGATGTCCCTGGCCACTCAGGCTGAAGTGGGAAATGTGAGAAGGCTACTTCTCAGTTCCCACTTAGGCTATGTTTATATACATGCAGTTGAGGCCATGTGGGAGACAGCCACATCATCTACAGACACAGCCACGCCCATCCGGGTATCTCTGCAAGAGATCCTAGGAGCATCCGGTGCACAGGAAGTCACCCAGTGCACCTGGGTCCAGGCATGTTACATCGCAGTCGGGTCAGTGGTACATTGATATAAGGGAAGTTGTCCATGTAATGAAAGAAGAGAAGGAAAAGGAAAGAAGAAAGAAGAAAGGAAGAAGAAGAAAGAAGGGAGGAGGGAGGAAGCAGGGCAGGGGGAGGGTAGAGGTACCGGGTGGAGGACAATGGGATTGGGTGGGTCCGGGCCAGGTGGAGCAGGGTCAGGTGGGTGTGCCCTGACACAAGCTCACACCACAAGAGTGTAAGCATCGTCTCGATGAGAAACTTTGCATGTTCTGTGGTCAGTCTGGCCATATGGTCAAGGACTGCCCTAAGTCTTCTTCTCGCGCATCTAAGGCCTGCACGGCCCAGACTGAGGAGCAAGGATCCACTTCTGCAGAGGCAAAAAATTAGTCTGCACCCCTGTGGACTCCACATGGGCCAGGGGTTGCGATTCTTCCCTCCATGCACTCAAAGAAGTATGCCTAAACACGTCTTCCATTTCCAACTTGTCCTCCCTCCACATTCCTGTTTCTTTCTCTCTTTCTGATGGTTGATTTTCTCCTTTTAATGTTGACCCTTCGGTTGATGTTTGTCAGTGCACACCTGCCTGACCCCACTCCATCCGGTCCGACCCCACCCGATTCCACTACCCTCACCTGCTGCCCCCATCCTCCCTCCTCCCTTCTCTCCCTCTTCCTTTCCCTTCTTCTTCCTTCTTCTTTCCTTTCTTTCTCCTTCATTCCTTTTCTACTACATGGATGACTTCCTTGCTCAATGTACCATTAACCAGACTGCGCAACACGCCCAGACCCAGACACACCAGGTGACGCCCTACACACCGGATGCCCCTGAGACCTCTTATGGAGATACCCAGGCGGACACGGCTGTGCACATAGATGACATGGCGCTCCCCACGTGACCTCCAACTACATGTACATAAACACAGCCTAAGTGGGAACT